TATATATATAGCCAGTTTAAATATTGTGGTTGTGTAAATGTGTTAGTGTAAGAAAAATTGCCGGTATGTCTAATATTAACATAACGTCAGACGGGAAGTGCATTCCTCTTAGTGCACACGGAGTGCATCGGGGATCGAAAGGCGAACGTGTAAACGCGCGACGACTTCCAAGTGCAAACGCGTTCTTTACGATCGTCCGAGAACGTTCGCAACCTTTTAACGCAGCCTCGGTCATCGCGTGTACCGCGACCACGTGCTTCCCCAGTCGATTAATCACGGAAAAGAACTTTTCCGTTACGCAATCGGTTCCTTGCCCCGTACCTAACAGCTCCGAGCTAAACGACCCCGCGACGAGTTTTAGAACTTTGCAAATTCTTTACGTAATTCGATTACACGTATTCCTAGTCTGACCTTTTGAAATGAGATGCGACCAGAATATACACGGCACATTATACCATTCAATTTCTAGATCCTAGTTTCACTTTTTTAAAAACTTTATTACAGAACTTTATTGTAATTAACATTATTTTAAAACTTTGTTATAATTAATTTTATTTTAAAACTTTATTATAGAAATTAAATACTGATGCAACCAGAATATATACGGCACTTTATACCATTTGTAGACGAGTAGTCTATCTCCAAATGTAGACGAGTTTGTAGAATTTTTCAATGCGTTACGTTTACATGATTAAAATGTAAAATTATTGTATTTATTAATGGGAAACTGGTTTTTGTATCTGTCGATCCACGGACGAACGAACGGAGTGCACACGCTCGGACAAGGCCGTGGCAAGAGTAAGTCTGATTGTGACGCGAATCATGCCCGACGGCAGTGAATTATTATTAACAATCCGATGCCGAAGCACGATGGGAATGTCTTAGAGGCCGAGTTGATTCACTCGTCCATCCCGACACGGTGTCCTTTTAATCGACTCACTCAATGACAGTTTCGCAATTGGACAGAGTTTGATATATTAATTCATTAAGATTTTAAATAGTTGATTTCTTAAATGCGACGCTTACCTCCCCTGCGAAAGCTTGTCCATTAACCGTGTGCTCCGAGC